ATCTAACGGACGTCATCCAGGGAGGGAGGAGAGTAGTATTCATATTGTGTAAGTGTGGAGGCATGGAGGGGAGGAGGAGGAGGAGGAGGAGGAGGAGGAGGAGGAGGAGGAGAAGGGGGAGGAGAGTCAGGAAAACTTTCATGCCACGAGGTTCTAGGTTCCAGGAGGAGAGGAGGAGGGGGAGGAGGAATGGAGGAGGAGTAGGAGGAGGAGGAGGAGGAGGAGGAGGAGGAGGAGGAAGAGGAGCAGGAGGACCCGCGTAAACCGAAGACGCATCAGCGATTTTGCAATAAACCCTCCCCGCCAAGTTCCCTCTCGCAGGTTCCTACAAGTCTGTAGTTTCAGTGCAGGAGGTGCCCCATTGAAAAACAACCGTCTGAGAATCCTCGATCACACGGGAACACCATTCCTGGGACTTCAACGCCGCGAATCAACGTGAGCGTTGCGCCCTGACAATCCTAAGACTCCAGAACAACCTTCTTGGGACTTCAACACCAATTCCTCAGGCTTCAACCCTACGAACCCTTCAAACCAATGCGCGCGGCGCTGAGGCGAGAGCCACCAATTGAAAACCAGCAACCATCCACCCTTGAACCGCTGCAAACTTGTGAAACGAATGTGCGCGGCGTTAAAGCGAAGCAAACATGTTAGAAAAGAACCCGCCCTCCATCCTTGAAGCGGCTGCAAACTGTTAAAACTAATGCACGCGCTGCTGAGGCGAGAGTCAAATTTTGAAAACCATCCGTCCTCCGCCCTTGAAACGGTTGCACTGTTCAAGCTTCAGAACCATAAATGGTGAGGAGGTCGCAAGCGAAGCGAAACGGGGTGTACGACAGGGAGGAATTACACGGAGAAGGGGTGGAGGGAGGAGGATGAGAAGTGAGGAGAAGGAGAGAGGCGGAAGAGGAGGGGGACGACGACGAAGAGGAGGAGAGGGGATCATCATCATCATCATCATCACCACCACCACCACCATCATCATCATCATCATCATCATCAGCAGCATCATCATCATCATCATCATCATCCTCATCATCCTCATCATCATCATCATCATCATCATCATCATCAACAACATCCATCGTTGTGGTCGTCATCAGCATCGTCCTCATCATCATCATCACCATCATCATCCGCATCAGCATCATCACCATCATCATCAGCATCAGCATCATCATCAGTATCATCATCATCACCACCATCATCATCATCATCGTCATCATCATCATCATCATCATCGTCATCGTCATCATCATCAGCATCATCATTATCATCATCATCAGCATCATCATCAGTAACGGCATCATCGTATGCGCATCATCAACAGCAGCAGCATCCTCGTCATCATCATGATCATCGTCATCACCATCATCGGCATCAACATCATCAGCCTCATCATCGCCGTCATCGTCAGTATCAGCAGCGCCATCATCATCAGCATCATCAACATCGGCATCAGCATCATCCTCATCGTTATCAGCATCAGCATCAGCATAAGCATAAGCATCAGCATGATCAGCATCAGCATCATCAACGTCGGCATCAGCATCATCCTCATCGTTATCAGCATCAGCATCAGCATAAGCATCATCATCATCAGCATCATCATCAACATCATCATCATCAGCATGAGCATCATCATCATCAGCATCGTCCTTCTTGCCCTGGTTCCTCAAGATTCAGGCCTGAGGAGCCCAAAGGTGACGACAATTACAGGATTTGGATGACCCGCTCGGATTCGAACATGAAGTGCGGGCCCCACAGGGAGGGGGCGCACGCCTGAGACTTCCTCCTCAAGATTCAGGCCTGAGGAGCCCAAAAGTGACGACAATTACAGGATATGGATGACCCGCTCGGATTCAAAAATGAAGTGCGGGCCCCATAGGAAGGGACCTCCCGCCTGAGACTTCCTCGAGATTCAGGCCTGAGGAGCACAAAAGTGACGAGTGCGGGCTCCATAGAGAAGGGGGCTCCCGCATGAGCCTTCCTCAAGATTCAAGCCTGAGGAGCCCAAAAGTGACGACAGATACAGGCCTTGGATGACCCGCTCTGATTAGAACATGAAGTGCGGGCCCCATAGGGAGGGGGCTCCCGCCTGAGACTTCCTCAAGATTCACTCACAGACGAGGCTCCAATCTGAGACTTTCTCTATGTTCAGGCCTGCGGAACCCAAAAGTGACGACGATTACAGGAGTTGGATGACCCGCTCGGATTCGAACATAAAGTGCGGGCCCCATAGGGAGGGGGCTCCCGCCTGAGACTTCCTCAAGATTCAGGCCTGAGAAGCCCAAAAGTGACGACAGCTAAGTGTGCGAGCGAATGTGGGTGAGGAAGACGATGGTGATAATGATGGTGCTGAGAAGGAGAGGGTATAGGATGATGGCGCGATTCATGGCGATAACACGATGATAGACGATGGCATGATCATGAGTGAGTGATGAGTGAACGTGACTGCGTGAGTGAAAGCGAGTGTGAGTGGTTGCTGATGATGATGATGATTATTGCCAATGGCCCTGATGGATCATGACACGATAATGAATGAGTGGGTGATGAGTGAATGATCGAGAAAGTGAGCGGGTGATCACTATGATCGATGATCCTGATGGGATGGTGATGACAGGAGGAGAGGGTAAGGTGTGAGGTCCCTGCGCGGAGGTGTGCAGAGAAACAACAACCTCACTCAGGATGTGGGAAACAACAAAAAACTAAGCAATGACAAAGAAACACAAAACAAAAAAAATCGCTACCATCACCCGCTTGCCCTCGGCGCTCCCCGGCCGACGAATACCAACAAACCTGCCGTCGAGATGCTGTCACGGCGCGAGGGGGCCTGAAAAGGGGAGGATAAGGAGGAGGAGTAGGAGAAGAAAAGCAGAAAAAGAAAGCGGAAAAGGAGGCACAGGAGGACGAGGACGAGCAGGAGGAGGAGGAGGAGGAGGAGGAGGAGGAGGAGGAGGAGGCCGACGAGGACGAGGGCGAGGACGAGGACGAGGAGGACGGCCCCGCGACCCCCACCGGACGTCTGCCCCCCGCCTCGGGCCTCGGGACCACCGCGGATGTCGATGCAGCTCGGAGAGTGCCCCGAAGAGGTGGGACACCAAGGGCTCTGGCCTCGTGATCGAAGGCCCAGGGACACACAGATAAATACACACAAATGAGAAGATTCCCCATACTTTCCCATATCTTCAGGGCTTTTGTTCTTCCCACCACTTCCCATATTTTCCCATATTTTCTGGGGAGTCGACGATTAATTGTGTCTGTGTGTTTCTTTCCCTCCTGAGTGATCTTCGGCGGTGTCTCGGGAGCGGCCAAGAGGGGCGTGTCCAAGAGGGGGGGCGCAGATCATGGCCGGCGGCATGTGCGCGGCCCAGGGGGGAGGGGGCCAGGGACGTACGGAGGTAAGAAGCGGCGCCGGGAGATCTGGGGAGGTGTCATGGCCCCCGCCGTGATAGCCGCCCCCCCCCCCCTGGTCATCACCCCCCTCGTTGCCGCCCCCGAGTGCCCCAGCGTCACGCGTCGGGTCTCAGGGCAGCGCGACGAAGCGGCTCCAGAAAAAGAGCATTCAAACAAAAAAAGAAGCCACATCGGGCAGGGACGATGCAGCACAAGTCGCATTATTTCTCGTCTGGGTCGCCGGCTGCGGCCTGGCGGCCTGGCGGCCTCGGCCGCGCCGACGCCGGCGACGACGAACTGGGAATATCTTTATCGTCCACCTCCCAGTCTTAAGTCGGGCGTGTCCCCCTACAGGCAGATTGTGGACGAAAAATAAAAAATTGAGGAAAAATACAGCGAAAATGCCCCAAAATACTCATAAAGATCCTCCCCAGACTACTCTTGGACTACTTCTGAATACTCCTCCTGTAGAGGGACAGGCCCGACTTAATCCCAGTCGGTCGCTGCGTCCCCACCGCAGGGATTTTCTTCATAGCCCGGTCGCACTATCCCCCACTCGCCCTCCCCGTCCCACCCTCGCCGTGTCGCGCGGTCTTTTAATGCTCTTGCTGTCTCGCCTCGGACTCCGAGGCCGATCGCACAGCACGCACCGGAACCCGGGTGCCGGAAGCCGAAGGGAAGGCTGCACGCTTCAAAGCCCCGACGTCGGGATCTGGCGTGCACTGACAGGGTCAGATCATGCACGTGCAGATCATGCACGTTCAATCATCTGAACTCGTTACTCCAACTCTATCGCTTCTCCCCCACCCCTTCGCTTCATCCCTTCGTCCCTGCATCCCTCTATCCCCATCCCCGCTCGTCCCTTCATTCTCCTGATCTGATGGTCTCCGCTGTTCTCCCCTCCCCACTCCTTCCCTATCCCACGCTGCGCACGCTTCATCTTCGAAGAAGAGGAGGAGGAGGAGGAGGAGGAGGAGGAGGAGGAGGAGAAGGAGGAGGAGGAGGAGGAGGAGGGGGTTGAGGAGGACAAGGAGGAGGAGGGGGGGGGAGGTCGAAGTTTTGCCGCTCCCGCCCCTGCGCGGCCCGCGTAATTAGCTTCCCCTTCGCCAGATCGCCGGCAGCGGGGCCGCGCACGAGCGCCTTCCGCTTGCGCGTTGGGAGCGCCTTCCGATGCCAATAGTGAAGGGAAACTGGGACACACAAATAAATACACACAAATAAAAAGATTCCCCATATTTTCCTATATTTTCTGGGTTTTTGTCTTCCCCACCACTTCCCATATTTTCCCATATTTTCCTGGGGATCGACGATTAATTGTGTCTGTGTGTTTTTTCCCCTCCTGAAATAGCAGCATGTGCCAGGCTGGATTTCTTTCTTTGCTTGTTCTGTGGGAGGGAGTTGGGGGGGAGGCGGGGCCCCCTGACTCGCTCGACCTGGCCGCCTTGACCCCACCGCACCCTCCCTTCCATTCTCCTCCCCCCCTCCCTCCCCACCTCCCTCCCGCCCTCCCTCCCCTCCCTCCCCTCCTCCCCTCCTCTCCTCCCCTCCTCCCCTCCCCCCCTCCCTCCCTCCCTCCCCCTCTGCCTCTGACCATCCCCGCGCTCCGCGCGGATGAAAGCTCACGCCGCGCGGCGGCCGCCACCAGCCTCGACGCGACGAAGCCCCGTCCTGGCATCAGAAGAGGCGCGACGGCCACCGCAGCAGCGGCGACGGCAGCAGCGGCGACGGCAGCAGCCGCAGCAGAAGGGCCATCAAGGGCTGGAAGAGGCACAGGTCCGAGGCGCGAGGTGGGCAGGATGCGGAGGGCCCGTGGAGGGCCCCTGCGCGGCTTCGTCCGGGGCTCTCCCGGGGACAGCTTACAGCAGAGGCCAGTCCACAAGAAACCTTCCACGAAAAAAACAACCCTGAGACCCCAGGAGGTCCCTTGGTTTTTGGTGTGGGCACGTCACGCCCTCCATAGCGAAGCCATGGAAACCCAAGATACCCAGGGCACCCTGGAGGCAAGCAGGCTGTTTCTTGGCCTGGGTCTCCACTGTAAGTAGAAGAAAAAGAAGAAGAAGAAGAAGAAGAAGAAGAAGAAGAAGAAACAAAAAAAAAAAAAATAAAAAAACTTGTGGCGCTCCGCGCGGATTTCTTGGATTCGCGCTGGGCCCCCCTCGCTGGCGCCCGGAGCGCGCCAGGGGCGGCGCCGGAGGCGCCGCCATGGGGGCCCAGCGCGGATCCAAGAGAAATCCGCGCGGAGCGCCCAAAGACTTCTGCTTGTGCGGTTTCCCCTGCTTCGAGTAAGAGGCAAAGCCCCCCGGCGAACCCAGGGAGGGGGGGGTGGCCGCCTGGCCGCTCTGCCGGGGTCCGCACGGAGGGGGCGCAGGACCGAGGTGCGAGGTGGGCAGGATGCGAAGAGCCCGGCGCGGCCTCGTCCGGGGCTCTCCTGGGGACGGCTTCGGAGGCGCACGTGGGGGCTCTCCTGGGGACGGCTTCGGCATGCTTGTGTGGCTTTTCTCCTCCTTCGAGTAAGAGGTGGGCAGGATGCGGAGGGCCCGTGGAGGGCCCCAGCGCGGCCTCCTCCGGGGCTCTCCCGGGGACGGCCTCGGAGGCGCAGAGCCCCTCGGCTCTGGCCGGGGGATACGCGCGGGAGGGGGGGGGGGGGGCGCCGAGGGCGCGCCGTCGCTCCCCCCCCACACGGGGGGCCGCGTGCGCGCCGCCTGCCGGGCTCGCGGCCGCGGGAGGAGGGGCAGCAGGGGCCAATTTTCAGCCACCGTTGCCACAGAGGTGGGAGAGGGGGGAGGAGGGGGAGGAGGAGGAGAGGAGGAGGAGGAGGATGAGGAGGAGGAGGAGGAGGAATAGGAGGAGGAGGAGGAGGAGGAGGAGGAGGAGGAGGAGGAGGAGGAGGAGGAGGGGGAGGAGGAGGAGGAGGAGGAGGAGGAGGAGGAGGAGAAGGAGGAGGAGGAGGAAGAGGAGGAGGAGGAGGAGCAGGAGGAGGAGGAAGGGGGGGGAGGAGGAGGAGGAGGAGGCGGAGGCGGAGGCGGAGGAGGAGGAGGAGGAGGAGGAGGAGGAGGAGGAGGACCTCCTCATCCTCTCCCTTTTCCCCCGTCCTACGTCTGGTAGTGGTGGAGGAAAATTTGCCCATCAGGGCAGGAGCAGGGGCGGGGAGGAGCAGGAGCAGCACAAGCAGCAGTGCCGCCACCCTCGGCACTCTTCCCCGAAGCATTTTCTCTTGGGGTGGAGGGCGCAGGGTGAAATCCATGTATGGGCTAATTGCACCTCGACAATCAATCCGACTTGTGGTTCGCCCTTTGCAGATTCAGACCTCGAAAATCAATCGAAACGGCATTTCAGACTTCACCCTTTGCCCTCCACCCAAAGAAAATGCTCGGTTCCCGCTGCAGACACCGTCGCCGCTGAGCCGAGGGGCAAGTCTTGCTGCGAGGGCACCACTCCCGAACTTTTCGAGAGGTTTGGGCACAGCAGCTGGAGTGCAGTGGTACCTCTCCGCAGTGCTGCTCGGCTCGTAGCCGCAGTGATGATGATCTGGATGCCATACCTGCTTATGGTATGTCTCTGCTTGGTCCTCTTCGGCTTGATTTCATGCAGCCCTGAGCTCAGGGCCCACGGCTGAAGACGATGGCTCCGTAGAGGTCCACAGGACACGACAGCCTCAGGGGCCAAGAAAGGAAGACGGGGGGCAAAGTGATCAGGAATAGCGTTCAGAGCGCACGTGACTCCTCAGCGAGCGCATGGCCCCCGCAGTTTTCATGGGGCGTAAGCACGCTGCACGACCAGCAGCTCACCTCCAGATATCAGCTGTCGGACGGGGGGGATCAAACATTGCTGCATCACTGGTAGCCCAAAATTGCAATCATGGCAGAGTCGGATGTGGTAGACCCCGCAAAGAGGCATGCATCACTCGTTCCCCTGAACTTGCCCAAAGTTGCACTGCAAGAAGCTGTCCAACTGACAAGGCTTAGGTCGGGCGTGCCCCCTCAGGCGGATGTTGGACGAAAAATCGAAAATACTCGATCAGTACCCCAAGATAATCAAACAAATACTCCAAAATCGTCCCCGGGCTACTCCTTGACTGAGTTTGACGATTCCTCCGGCAGAGGGACGGGCCCGACCTAAAACTTGCCCAAAGCTGCACTGCGAGAAGCTGTCCCGCAGAAGAGGCGTGCGTTTCTCTAGCGCCAGCAACCGCCCGGCGAGAACTCCGACAGACCGCGGCAGCGGCCGCGCCGCAGGCACGCGTGGCCCTCCTCACACGTCCTGGGCGCGGGAGCCTCGCGAGGGCAGCGGAAAAAAAGCCTCCGCTGGCAGCTCGCGGGAGACTCCCAGACCAAACTGCTGGCTCTTGCGAGTCGTCGCTGAGCGGAGCTCATCGACGCGAGATCGACCCCAAAATCGACGCGCACCGGCGCCAGATCAGCGCCATCGCAAGGATTGCCAGGCACTCGTCGACGCCAGGGGTGCAGAAGAGGCTCCCGGCAGTTTCTACCGAGACAGTCTAGGTGCGCCCGTGCTGGAGCAGCAGCCGCGGGATGCGGAGGCACTCCCGCTGGCCGGCCGTCGGTCCAGCGGAGCGCCAGAGCCGGGAAGCCATGCACGTGTCTGCCGGGCCAGGCATATGGGCGATACCCAGGCGCGCCGTGCCGAGGAGAGCGAGGAACAGAAGGGAGGAGAGGAGGCACACGGCGAAGGATACGAGTCGGCCCGAAAGCTTATCGACTCCTGGCCTGGCGGCCTGTGCTGCGACAGCTCCGTATTGAGAGGCCTAGCCAGCGCAGGCAATGCACTCGCCGCGCAGGAGAAAAGAGGGAGAGGAGGGAGGAAGGAGGGGAGGACGGGGGGGAGGCAGGAGGAAAACAACCAAGCTCGCGAATGCGTAGACCAACCACGGCAAATCCGGGAGTACTCGCACATATGTCCCACACGAGCGGAGAAGGAGGAGGAGGAGGACGAGGAGGAGCAAGACGCAGAATATAACGGCCAGCGAAGATAGTGACGCAGTGCAAACAGTCAGGTGACTAAATTCCTAGGCGAAAGTTTGACGAAGTGTGTCCGTGCCTATATTTTTAACTTAGGCCGTGCTGGAAGCGTGCTTAACTCTAGCTGCCCACCCATGGGACAACCGTTATAACCACCCGACCGACCGACCGACCGAACGAACGAACGACCGGACAACGACCGACGGCGACGACCGAGGAATGACAGCGACGCCGACGACGGCCGACCGACCGACCGAACGAATGACCGATCGACCCAGTGGCCGAGCGACCGAGCGACCGACGACGACGACGACCACGAACGACGACGACGACGACGACGACGACGACGACGACGACGACAACGACGACGACGACGACGACCGACGGCGACAACAACGGCGACGACAACGACCGACCGACCGAACGACTGACGACCGACCGAACGACGAGGACGACGACCGACGGCGACGCCCGACGGACGACGACAAACCGACCGACCAACGGTGAAGAACGACGACAACGAAGACAACGATGGACGGACCGACCGACCGAACGACGACGACGAAGACAACGACGGACGGACCGATCGACCGACCGACGACGACCGAACGACGAGGACGACGACCGACGGTGACGCCCGACGGACAACGACGACGACGACAGACCGACCGACCGACAGCGACGGAAGACGGCGACGAAGACAACGACGGACGGACCGACCGACCGACCGACGACGACAACGACGACGACACCGACGGACGCCGTCGCAAAACTCTAGAAGGCCCAATCTAGAAGGCCGACCGCGAACGGCCGAGGTCAAATTCGAGAACGACGCGGGCCAGGGAAAATTCTAGAATGGAGCGCTTCGAGGACGCGACCCCCAACTCCCCCTCTCTCCAACCCCCCCCGGAGACGGGTGCTCCGCATGGGCCGAATGAACCCGAATGAACCCGAATGAACCGCGAATGAACCTCCCAATTTACCAGAACGTACCCTCGACTAAGCCCTCCCCCGCGCCCCAGACGGACCCCGACTCAACCCCCTAGACGTCGTCGTCCCCGTCGTTGGTCGGCCGTCGCCGTGGTTCGCCGTTGTCGCTAATCGTCGTTCGTCGGTCGTTGTCCTGAGGCGGTCCGACGGTTGTCGTCGTCGTCATCGCCCTCGTCAACAACAATCACCTGACTGGCCAGTCAGGTCACGAATTTACGAATGAACAATTTGACGAGGTGTGTCCGTCCAACGACTATGATGAATCTTGGCCGTGGTGGAGGCGAGGCTCGCACCCGACCGACCGACCGGCCGACGAGCGGGCCAAATTCGAGAACGCGCGGGCCAAAAAAAAATCTGCAAAATACGACGGTTTGAGACCACCCGCTGAGGCCGGATGAACCCGAACGAACCCGAATGAACCCGAATCAACCGCGAATGAATCCGAATCAACCGCGAATGAACCCCCGAATGTACCAGAATGCACCCCCGACTGAACCCTTCCCAGCGCCCCAGATGCACCCCTACTCAACCCCCCAGACGTCGTCGTCGTTGTTGGTCGGCCGTCGCCGTGGTTCGCAGTTGTCGCTCATCGCTAATCGTCGCTCGTCGGTCACGTCCTGGGTCGGTCCGACGGTCGTCGTCGTCGTCGTCGTACAAATTTCATGACCAACAAGAGTCACCTGACAAGCCAGTCAGGTGACGAATGCACTAATGAAAACTTTGGCGAGGTGTGTTCGTCTAATGGCTATATTCAACTTAGGCCGTGGTGGAGGCGTGGTGAACTCCAACTGCCCACCCATTCGACAGCCGTTAAATCCACCCGACCGACCGACCGAAAGACCGGACAACGACCGACGGCGACGACCGAGTGATGACAACGACGCCGACGACGACCGACCGACCGACAGATCGACCGAACGACTGACCGATCGACCCAGCGGCCGAGCGACCGAGCGACCGACGACGACGACGACGACCACGAACGACGACGACGACGACGACGACGACGATGACCGACCGACCGACCGACCGAGCGATCGATCGACGACGACGACCGACCGACCGCCTGGCCGACCGAGCGATCGACGACGACGGCGACGGCGACGACGACAACGACGACGACGACCGACGGCGACGACCGACAACAAACAACGACGACGACAACGACGACGACGACGACGACCACGAACGACGACGACGACGACGACGACGAAGACGACGACGACAACGACGACGACGATGACGACGACGACGACCGACCGACCGACCGACCGATCGATCGATCGACGACGACGACCGACCGACCGCCTGGCCGACCGAGAGATCGACGACGACGTCGACCGACGGCGACGACCGACAACAAACAACCACGACGGCAACGACCACCGACCGACCGACCGACCGACCGAACGACCAGTCGAACGACCGATGACGACCGAGCGACGAGCATGACGACCGACGGCGACGCCCGACGGACGACGACGACAGACCGACCGACCGACAGCGACGAACGACGACGACGAAGACAACGACGGACGGACCGACCGACCGAACGACGATGACGAAGACAACGACGGACGGACCGACCGACCGACGACAACGACTGACGACACCGACGGACGCCGTCGTAAAAGTTCTAGAAGGCCAAATCTAGAATGCTGACCTCGAACGGCCGAAGCCAAATTCGAGAACGCGCGGGCCGGAGAAAATTCTAGAAGGGGGCGCTTCGAGGACGCGGCCCCCAACTCCCCCCTCTCCACCACCCCCCCAGAGACGGGTGTTTTGCATTTAGTGATACTTCAGGGAGGGACGGTTGCATGCGAATGTACCACCGCGGGTTCCGAATCCTGCAAAATACGATGGTTTGAGACCACCCGCTGAAGCCGAATGAACCCGAATGAACCCGAATGAACCGCGAATGAACCCGAATCGACCGCGAATGAACCACCGAATGTACCAGAATGCACCCCCGACTGAACCCTCCCCAGCGCCCCAGATGCACCCCGACTCAACCCCCCAGACGTCGTCGTCGTCGTCGTTGGTCGGCCGTCGCCGTGGTCCGCCGTTGTCGCTAATCGTCGCTCGTCGGTCGTCGTCCTGGGTCGGTCCGACGATCGCAGTCGTCGTCCTCGTCGTCGTAAAAAGCCCACTACCAACATAAGTCACCTGACTGTGGATCGCATATTCCATCTGGGTCCCAGCGCCCATCGCCGGACCAGACCGCGATGCGGTGCGGTCCTCCGACCTGCTGGGATCCCATCTAGGAGGCCTAGGCCACCAGCGTCAGCCCCCGAGACGACACAGTGCAATTTTGGTATCGGTCGGCTCTCGGCCCTTGCCGGGAGCGGCCCCACCTCAGGCGCAAAGACCCCAGAGCGTCCTAGGCGAAGACACCGACGTGCGCAGGAGGGCGCCAACTTGGCAGCGACTCCGATCCTGGGCAGGGTCGTCCCGGGCCCAGGATCGGTGTAGACGCCTTCCTGGCGTGGGCATGTAGGCAGATTGCTAGAAATGTGGCTATATGAAATATATACACGTGTATGCCGATATGTATACATATTGCGTGTATAAATAGACGTGTATAAGTATATGTGCATACCTACACCCATGCATACATACATATACACACACATACATACCTACTTACCTACCTACCTACCTACCTACATACCTACATACATACATACATACATGCATGCATGCATGCATGCATGCATGCAGTCAGGCAAACCTATACTTGTACATACCTATGAATAAGTATATATATATACATATGTGTGTACGTATGCATTTACACATACCTATACATATACATGTATGAACAATAACAAGCACGTATACATATACATATAGATACATATACGTATACAAATACATGTATATGCACATATACATGTACATAGACATGGACATAGACATTGATGTGTACACGTATATATGTATATATATATACGTTCACAACTGCATACTGAGTTACATCTACAAACGCAGATATACATAGACAGAAACATACATATACACATGCATACATGTATGTGTGCGTTTACTTATAGATGTACGTATATGTACACGCGTGCGTATACATATACATGCACATATGCATATACGTATACATATACAAATACCTATGCATATACATATATGCATACACATACGTATGCATACACATATACATATACATATACCCATACATAAACATAAACATATGCATGCATATCGACATATACATACAAAATTACATATACACATACGTATGCAAATACATATACATACATCTCTGTACCTCTATACAAATATATACATGTATCGATCCTGGGCCTAGGATCGACCTGGCCAGGACGGTGCCGCCGCTGTAGACGTCTAGTTGGTGCGCTCCCACGGCGGCAAGCGAAGGACTCACCAGCGCCACCCTCAGATGCGGAAGAGCTCCTTCTGGCCGGCTGCCGACGCGGGGCTCTCGGCCAGCTCGACGTGCCAATCCGCCACCGTGCCCCCACAGCACGCTGGGGCGTGGTATGATGCCAGATGCTGTCTGGCAAGGCAGCTGCAAGCTTCTGAAGGCCCCCCCCCTGTCCGTACCGCCGCCCCTGCGTCCCTCCCTCCCTCCCGACGCCTCCCTCTCGATCTCCGAAGTTCGCAGGACGCCCAAAATGGCTTCCTCCAAGACCACCAGAGAAGGCCCCCGCGATGCTTAACCCTGGAGCACCCAGGAGACCATCAGAGAGGCCCAGATTGCAGATTGAAGGAGCCAAGGGACACACAGTACATAGACACACATTCAGGATTCCTCATGTTTGTCCATGTTTTCTCGATGTCCGTCTTCCCCATCTCCACTTCCCATATTTTCCCAGATGTTCCTGGTGAACGTTTTCTGTCTCGGCGTTTCGACATCGAGCGAAAGAGGGGGGGAGGGAGGGGTCTGGCTCCGGAACTCTGCTTAGCGCGACTGTTTGCAACAGTGCGTCCTATTGGGGAGACTCCACCTGCTTGAAACAGGCGCCAAAAAACAGCCAGGATCTACCCCAGAGGGGTGGGGAGGGGGTTCGAGGGCCCGCGCCGATCGGCAAGACAATGAACAAGAGAACAATCACCTGGGGATCGAAGATGATTTGTGCCTGTGTGTTGCCATCCCTCCTGACCGATACCAAGAAGCATCGAAACCCGAAGGTGTTTTAGTAGCTAACGGCCCTCTTGTGGAGTTGGGTCCTCGCCTCGGATCCGCGGCGCCGCGCCCCCACCTCACTCCTCCTGCTCCTCCTCCTCCTCCTCCTCCTCCTCCTCCTCCTCCTCCTCCTCCTCCTCCTCCTCCTCCTCCTCCTCCTGCCCCTCCCCCCGACCTGCCGCAGCCCTCCCGCGTTGTTCCCAGACCTCCCGCCCGCCCGCCTCGGCACACCCCTCGCGGGTCCCAGACGAGGTATCCGATCCGAGAGGTCGGCCTCTCCAGTTCCTGGGAAGCGCCTCCTCCCCCCCCCCTACGAAGCCTCGAGTGCATCGGCACGGCGCCCGGACATCCGACTCGAGCCCATCAGAGATCCAGGATCTGGAACAGCAAATCCCCTGGATCGGATCTCTTCTCGGGGCCCGACATCACACCCATCCTCGCTGGGCGCCTGGCGGCACCCCCCTTGCGCAGGCATCGTGGCCCGCGGGAGTCCCGCGAACACCCCTGCGCGCGTGCCCCGCGCTCCGCAGCTCCCCCCCCTTGGTCAGCACTTCCCCCCGCGGCGCGCAGCACGGCACGCCCTGCGCGACAGGCAGCGGCACGGCCGAGGTGGATTTCAGAGGACAAGCGAGAACACACGAGACTCTTCCGAGGACCACGTTGCCATGAGAAAATAAAAGGCACGGGTCGCAAAACACAGGACACAAGGGCACCCTTGACTTGGCAGGGTCGACCTGCGAATCAACGTCGACTGCAGGTTTGGGCCTTTTCGCAAGGAGCTGAAGTGCGTTGGTTCCACGCTGTTGTTCTGCCACGGAATACCTCTGGCACGCTGATGGACGCCCCACGACGCCCCTCGAGTGGCCCAGGAGGCCCCTTCAAGAGGCCCAAGAGCTCAAGAAGACCTCCTTTTAGAGGGCCCTGAGAGGACACCAAAGGGCCTCTGGAGGGCCCAGAACGGCGGCCCGAGATGGCCCCCATCCCCCAAAACGCCCCAAGACGGCCCCCGCGACGTCCCCGACGGCCCTAAGGGTCCCCCGGCCGCTTTCGGGGAGCCCCCGAACACCCCCGGGACCGCAAATACAAAAACACGGCAGATGGACGCGGACAATGACAACAGCAACGACAACAATAACAACAACAACAACAACAACAACAACAACAACAACAACAACAACAACAACAACAACAACAACAACAACAACAACAACAGCAACAGCAACAGCAACAGCAACAGCAACAGCAACAGCAACAGCAACAGCAACAGCAACAACAACAACAACAACAAGGCAAAACAACAGGCTGGTGGACCCAGTGAGGGTCCACCAGCTCGCTGTTTGGCTCCTTGTGGCGAAACATATCACTGGTGGACCCGGAACCCCCCCGGCAACGCAACGCAACGCAACATATGGTTGGCAACAGAAACAAACGGAAGCCGTTGGAAAATCCTCTAAGATCCTTCGGGGTCCTTACGAAAGCCGACGCATTCCCACGAGCTGAAACTATGTGCGCCCCCCCGAGCCGAAACCTTCGGGCATGCTATAGAATCCTTAAGGGACGCTACAGATTCCCTAAGGGAAGGCTGCAGAACCCCGAAGGGAGGCGATCGAATACCTAAGGGAGGCTATAGATTCCCTAAGGGATGCTATAGAATCCTTAAGGGCTGCTTCAAAATCCCTAAGGGATGCTATGGAATTCTTACGGGATGCGATGGATTCCCTTAAGGGATGCTATAGAATCCTTCAGGGATGCTACAGAATCCCTCAGGGGAAGCTGCAGTGCTACAGAATCCCTAAGGGGAGGCTGCATAACCCCTAAGGGATGCTATAGAATTCCCAAGGGATGCTATAGAATCCCTAAGGGATGCTATAGAATCCCTGAGGGCTGCCATAGAATCCCTGAGGGCTGCCATAGAATCCCTAAGGGATGCTATAGAATCCCTAAAAGACGCCCTAGAATCTTCAAGGGGTGCGATAGCATCACTAAGGGGGGATGCTATAGAACCCCAGTAAGGTATGCTATAGAATCCCTTAGGGCTGCCATAGAATCCTTAAGGGGATGCTATAGAATCCCTAAAGGATGCTAGAGAATCCCTCAGGGCTGCAATAGAATCCCTAAGGGATGCTAGAGAACCTCTCAGGGCTGCAATAGAATCCCTGAGGGATGCTATAGAATCCTGAAAGGGATGCTATAGAACCCCTAAGGGGATGCTATAGAATCCTTAAGGGGATGCCATAGAATCCTTAAGGGATGCTATAGAATTCCTGAGGGATGCTAGAGAATCCCTGAGGGATGCGATAGAATTCATAAGGGCTGCTATTGAATCCCGAAGGGATGCTATAGAATCCCTAAGGGATGCTATAGAATCGCTAAGGGATGCGATAGACTCCCCATGGGTCCCGGCGTGTTGCCCGGCGTCCCTCAGTGGCCTGCCCCAGAGGGGGGGGGCGCATGCCCAAATGGCTTGAACCACAAATTAAGAGAAGGAAAGGGGCGTGCCCACGTCAGCCGCAAGGCCACCAGAGCCACGGGAGTCAAATCCGCCGCCGTGCCTCCTGCACGGCAGAGGCGTGTTAGAAGCTGGGCCGGCACGGGAACGAAAAGAGCTCCCTGTGGGGCCAGGGCCACGATCCTCGAGAGACGTGTGCCGAAATGATGTTTCGGTGGGGCTCCGTGTGGGGCCAGGGCCACGATCCTCGAGAGGGGTGTGCCGAAATGAGGCGTGGGTGGAGCTCCCTGTGGGGCCAGGACCACGATCATCCTTGAGGGGTGTGCCGACATGAAGCTTCGGAGAAACCCTCTGTGAGGCCAGGGCCACGATCCTCGAGAATGGTGTGCCGAAATGAAACTTTGGAAGAGCTCCCTCTGAGGCGAGGGCCACATCCTCGAGAGGGCTGTGCCGAAATGAAGCTTCGGAGGAGCTCCCTGTGAGGCCAGAGGCCCTATGAGATTCCTATAAAACTCTTGAAAATGACCCCCATAGGATTCGCAAAAGCCCTACAGGCTTCCCGCAGGATTCCTATAGGATTCGTGAAAGCCCTATAACTCCGATTGGACTCCTATCGGATCCCTATAAGATTCGCAGAGGCCCTTTAGGATTCCAATCGGATTCCTTCCGGATTCCTTTCGGATTCGTAAAGGCCCTCTAGGCTTCCTATAAAATGCCTATAGGATTCCGACAGGATTCGTGGAGGCCCGATAGGAGACTTATAAAAATCATTTGGGATTCCTATAGGATTCGTAGAGACCCTATAGGATTTCTATGGGAGTCCTATAGGATATGTAAATGCCCTCTGGGATTCCTGTCAGACTCCTATAGGAGTCCTATTGGGTTCGTGAAAGCCCTATAGGAATCCGATGAGACTCCTATAGGAATCCGATAAGATTCGCAGAGGCCTCATAGGATTCCTATAGGTTTGCTATAGGATTCCTATGGGATTCGTAAAGGCCCTCTAAGATTATTATGGGATCCCTATGGGATTCCTATAGGAATCGGAGAAGCCGGATGGGATTCCCAGCAAGGATTCCTGTAGGATTCCCATAGGATTCGTAGAGGCCCTATAGGATTTCCACAGGACTCCTATAGGGTTCCCATAGGAATCAGGCCCTATAGGATTCCGATCCGATTCCAATTGGATTCCTATAGGATCCGTAGAGGCCCTCTAGGATTCCCATCGGAATCCTACAGGATCCTTATAGGATTCGTAGAGGCCCTATAGGATTCCTCTGGGATTCCTGTACGATTCCCATAGGCTTCGCAGAGGCCCTATAGGACTCCCAGAAAGGATTCCTAAAAAGATCCGAATATGATTCGTAGAGGCCATATGGGATTCCCAAAGGATTCCTATGGGATTCCCATTGGAATCCTGAAAAGCCCTATCGGATCCTCATGGGGTTCCCATAGGAATCCTAAAAGGCCCTATAGGTTTCCTACGGGCTTCCTATAGGATTCCTATCGGATTCGTAAAGGCCCTATAGGATTCCCCTAGGATTCCAATGGGATTCCCATAGGATTCGTAAAGGCCCTATGGGATTCCTATCAGATTCCCATGGGATTTCCATAGGATTCGTAAAGACCCTATTGGATTCCTCTGGGATTCCTGCAGGATTCCGATAAGGTTCGCAGAGACCCTATAGGATTCCCATAAGAACCAATAGGATTCGGGGTAACGTGCGTTGCGTTGCGTTGCGTTGCGTTGCGCCGGGGGGGGCCGGCGCCAGTGAGTGGTTTCGTCAACAACAACAACAACAACAACAAGAACAACAGCAGCAGCAGTTACAACAAAAACGACGACGACGACAACAACAACTTAAAGCAGCAACAGCAATAACAACAACAACAGCAGCAACAACAACCACCCAGCATCATCAACAACAACGACAACAACTACAACTACAACAGCGGAAGCAGCAACGTCAACAACAACGACAACAACCACAACAGCATCAACAACAACAATCGTTTCAAGACTGTTCGCTCTTACTGGCACGCGCGTCTTGCATTCCGTATACCCCACCCCTCGATACCCGCCCACTTCGTCTTCGATTGCACCCCCTTGTTGGCCACTGACTGAAGTGCGAGGAAGTCTCGAGCGAGAGCGCCGTTACGGAGCTCGGGGGCCTCTCTGGCCAGGGGGTCTCGGAATACCGATGGAGAAATATCAAACGGGAACCCTAGTCGCCGTGTCCGGGCCTCCACCAACTTGCCTGAATTACGAGAAAGTCTCGAGCGAGAGCGCCGTTCCTGAGTTCGGGGGCCTTCTTGGCCAGGGGCTCTCGGAGTAAATCGCGAGGAAGTATCGAGCAGGAGCCCTTGTCGTCGTGCAGGAGCCCTTGTCGTCGTGGCTGGGCCGCTGGGCCTCCGCCAACTTGATTGAAGTGCGAGGAAGTCTCGAGCGAGAGAGCCGTTCCTGAGTTCGAGGGCCTCTGGCCAGGGTGTCTCGGGGTAAATTGTGTGGAAGTATCGAGCGGAAGCCGTTGTCGTCGTAGCTGGGCCTCCAAGGGCCCACATTTAGGCTCAAGCCAACGCTCGAGCGGGAGCCGCGCTTTCAAAGAAAATGTAGCCGGCGTCGAGGCGCGAGCGCGCGGAACCGCTTCCGGAGATTGAGAACATTTTCTCTCTAGAAATGAATATCCAACAACAACAACAACACCAACAATAACAACAACAACAACAACAACAACAACAACAACAACAACAACAACAACAACAACAACACGACAACAACAACAACAACAACAACAACAACAACAACAACAACAACAACAACAACAACAACAACAACAACAACGACAACAACGACAACGACAACGACAACGACAACGACAACGACAACGACAACGACAACGACAACGACAACGACAACGACAACGACAACGACAAGGACAACGACAACGACAACGACAACGACGACGACAACGACAACAACAACAACAACAACAACAACAACAACAACAACAACAACAACAACAACAACAACAACAACAACGACGACAACGACAACGACGACGACGTCAACAATAACAACAACAATAATCAGTTTGATTTTGTCCGCTCCTATCTGCTTGAGGGCCGTTCAAAACGTAAATCCCAAAACCCTCGGTACCCGCCCTCTTCAATTTCGATCGTACCCCCATTGGGGGTGTATCTTCCTTACCTGCCACGTGCATTTCGTGCAGCCCCTAAAGAAGGGAAGAGAGGACGGATGGAAGGGGGAGGGAGAAGGATAGAGCACGAGAGAAATTAGCTGGAAGGAGGCTAAGAGCAGAAAACACGTGGTTGAACCAGACGGGCAGATCGGGCGGGCAGACCCTAGCGGGCGCGTCGGGAAGGCGGGCCCAGGTGGCCAGGTCGGGCAGGCGGGTTGCTGAAGCGTGAGTCCTGCGTGAATCGATTCCCAAGTAAATCGTGAGTAAAGCCAAAGCGAGAGCGTGATTCATGAGTGTCCAGGGCGCTGTGTCTGAATAAATTGCGAGGGAGTCCCACGCGAGAGCGCGATTCCTGCGATTCCTACATACACTGAGAGAAAGTCCCACGCGAGAGCACCATTTTGGAATAAACTGTGAGGAAGTATCAAGCGGGAGCCGTTGTTGCTGTAGGCGGGGGGCCAGGGGCCCAGTTTGAACACGAAGATTTCCCCCTGATAAAGAACGGGGTGCGAGCCCTGAGGGGGGCACTTCAATCGAAAAAGCAAAATGTGCACCGTTGGGGGGGATCGACAATAGGCATTCTTCAGGAATCGGACTTCAACAACAAAACAGCTCTCAACAAAAAAAAAAGGCAGACAAGACATGGGCGACGTCTGCACCGAGCACAGAGGCGCACAGAGTGCTGCACCAGCACGGTGGTGGAACTGGCCGCAGGCACCCGGATTGTAGGCTGCCACGAGGGGCATGCGGCAGGCCGGGAACTGCTGCACGACCTGGGCAGCCCCGGGGGGAGGCGCACACGCCGCCCTGCGGGGGGGAATCGACTCCAAGGCCGCGCTAACCCTCGCCATCCACCTCCTTCCCCCCTCCAACTTTCGGGTCGGGCGAAAGGAGGGGATAGCAAAGGGGGGGTTTGAGAATCAGCTCACGTAGCTGATTTTCCCGGCGCCTCCTGGCGCCAGAGGCGACTATGTATCGAGGAATGGGCCCCTCGGTGAGGCCGAAATCAGCTGCATGCAGCAAATTTCGTAACCCCCCCTTTCCCAATCCCCCCCTTTCGCCCGGCCCGAAACTTATGGTGGTGGTGGTGGTGGAAAACAGGCTCGTCGGTATTGGTTGACGGTGATGTTGGGAATCTGATTTTTGCGACTCTGGGCTCGCGCAGAGCAAAGTGTAGGAAAGCACGAACCACGCTCGCCTGCACGCCAGATGTGCGAGCGCACCGAGCGAGAACGGCGCAGCGAAGTGCAGGAGACCACGAGCCAGGGTGTCCTACAATTGGCTTGGCCACGAACCAGTCCCCCCGACCACGCCGAAGCCCACGCCGAAGCCCACGCCGAGCCAGGGTGTCCTACAATCGGCTCGGCCGCGAAGCAGTCCCGCCGACCACGCCGAAGCCCACGCCGCCGTGAGCCGACAGCGCCGCCGGCCGGCGCGTCTGCGGCGACCGCGGGGAGGCGGAAGCCGAGGCGCGCGCCGGGAGCCGTGGCGTGGGCTCCGCGGGGGAGCCGGCCCGTGCCGCCTCCCCCCCCCCCCCTGGGGGGGCCGGGCGCGGAGGCCGGGGCCTGGCAGCAGAGAGGGCGCGCGAGCAGGGGCGGCCAGGCGTGCACCCCAGAGGCCTCCCTGGGCTCGTGCTGCTCTCATAGGGCGACGAGATCTATGCCTATCCACTGCTCCCGGCCAGGCCAATCCTGGGCCCAAGAGCTGTGTATACGCCCTCCTGGCTTGGCCAGGGAGGCATATACACCGCTCCTGGGCCCAGGATGGGCCTGGCCGGGAGCAGTGGATATGCATAGATCTCGTCGCCCCATCATCGGCGGTGGACAAACCTCCCTGTAGTAGACCTCCCCTTAGTGAAAACGGCCTGGGACCGAAGCCGACGGGCCTGGGCCCGCAAGAATGACGGCCGCGGCGCCCTCTCGCGAACTGGAAACGGCCAATTCCTTCATCGACGTGTCAGGGTAGGAGGTATGTCCCACCCCGATCTCAGCGCACTTCGGGACCACGTCCCGGAGGTCCTTTCGAGCACCCTCCAGAAGAGTATCGGAGCAGTGTCGAGCGAGTGTGGCCCCCCAGGGCCCGGCACGTGAAAGCCCCCTCAAGTTTCGGTGCTCTCCTGGTGCCCGAAATTCGTTCTGGTGGTCAAGGCAAAAGTATGCTGGAACACCACAATCTTAGATGGGGTCCGAGTAGATGGGGTCGAAGGGTCGCGCCACGTCGCCAAGACATCGCCGATGCATCGGCGATGCATCGGCGATGCGTCGGCGACGTCGGCGTGGAGAAGATCGGGCTCCGCATCGAGACGCATCGCCGATGCATCGGCAATGCGGGACGATCCTCCGGCCCCATCTGCTCCGACCCCATCCAGGAGGCCCAGAAACCCTGCCCCTGAAGGTCACAGAGTTCTGCAACGCCGGCTGGGGCTCAGAATTCGAAGAGGAGGCCTGCCCCCAGGTGAACCTCAGCGGGGGGGGACCCGATACGTCAACGTCTTCTTGTTCGGCGTCTCGGCATTGGGCAGAAAGGGGGGGGGAAGGGGGGGGTCTGGCTCTGGACCTCTGCTCAGTGCGACCGACTGTTTGCAAGAGGTGCGGCCTCTGGGGGAGACTCCACCCGCCCGAAACAGGCGCCAAACACAGCCAAGATCCACTCCATGGGGGGGGGAAGGGGGGCAAAACAATGAGTAAAAAAACGATCACTACCCCACCGTCGATTGGACTCGCAGGGGTAGGGCTCGTATGTGGTCGCAGAATTCAGTCAACAGGCCGACTGGCTGCTTCCGGGGCGAAATCATGGAAATCAAGCTACGGCTGGGAGCGTGAGTCGGAAAATACTTGCCAAAATCGGAGAGATAGACACGGGTGCCAGAGCCGTAATCGGAGTCGGAGTCGGAAAGATGAGACCGGAGCGTGGGAAGGACGAAAACCGGACGAGGGCCAGAGACGGAGAGATGAGCGCACTGGGGTCGTGAGGACAGTCGGAGCCGAAAAATCGAGTCGGAGAGATGGGCACGGGTGCCCGTATCGGAGCTGGAGTCGGCAAGATAGCGGTTGGGTGGGAGGAGATTGCGGTTGGGTGGGGGAGGCCTTGCTGAAAAAGAATTGGCGGCGAGCCTGGGGGGCACGTGAGAAGGGGCGGGCCTTCTCAGAAGGCTCGGAAGTCCCCCGGTCTTCTGAAAAAAGTTCCAAGCCTTCCCCCGAAGACACGGAAGACCTCTCAGAAGGCGCGAGGGCTTCCGAGAAGTCCCGCCGCCCCTCTGAAAAAGAGGCCCTCTCCTTCTCACCTCCCCCCCCCCTGGCTCGCCGCCGACGGGTGGGAGGAGGTGGCGGCTGGGTGGGGAAGGCCGCTCGGCACCGCAGCGCCCCGGGGCGACCGACACCGAAGTTCTGCCCGCCTCTGCCCCTCGCCCCACGTCGCCTCTGGGCCTCCCTGCGGAGCGGTTCGAGGACGAGGCGCGCCTGCGACAGAGACTGGAGGAGGGCGGGAGACAGCGTCTCAGAGGACTGCCTCTGCTCAGGCCAAGTGCACGAGCCTCTCCCCCGAGGCCACACTGGACGCGTTGTCTGACCGAGTCCAGGCATGGCGACGAAGGAGGCCCCCCATGGCGCCCTCAAGGGAGGAGCCGGCTTTCCGAGCGCGTGGACAACTCTGGCTGCGTGGTAAGCGACCCCTAAACTCAGAAATACTCTGTCTGCCTACGTTGGACAGAAACTCACAACTCTCTGTGGCTATCCTGTTGATGATGAGCCGCGTGCACACCGCAGAGCGGGGGGGGGGGACGGGGCCTGCCACTCCCTGACCAAAACCTTGCCCCAACGTGTGGCCGCCGCGATCGCCGCGGCGACCTCCACAGCCGACCTGGAGATTGGGTTCGGGGCCGGATATCACGCAACGACACTACCATGAGGTCGGTCCTCTCCCCTATACAGGGGGATTTGGGAGGAAAAATTTCAAATACCCCCAAAAGTACTCCAAAAATTGTCCAACAATACTCCAAAAATCGTCCTCCGACTGTGTTTGGGGACTGTTTTTGAAAACTCCTCCTGTAGAGGGACAGGCCCGACTGAAAACCACCACCCCCGACCAAAGTGGCCTCGCAAGAACCGCATGCCCCCAGTGCTGACGAGCGAACGGATGTCGCGGCGCCGAGGCGCTGCGTCTCACTGCAGGGCCGCGACTTCCCCGAGGGGGGGCCCGCCGCGCCAGAAAGCTCGTCATGGCTTCGGCGTCTGTGAGGGGTTGATTTCGGGGGGTGCTGTGGGGTGTGGGAGGCCTTGAGGTTGACACCAACACGGCGATGTGCCTCCACCCAGAGAAGGTGCTCCCGATCTCGGTGATGGTGGCAGTCTTGGCTTCCTGGATGGCCCAAGCATTACCACCAACACCGAACTCCGGGACCATCTTCCCCCGCTTGTGGCATGCCCGTGTGTTGGTGTCGGTGCCCATGTCCAAGCCTCCAAGGGTGCTGCCTTTTCTTTCCCGCACCCCACACTGACCTCCTCGGCGGGCAGGGTCGCCAGGTACCCCTCCGTGTGCCCCGAGAGGACCGCGACCGGCGCCATGCCCTCGAACAGCATGGCATCTGGGCTGCAGAGCCTGCGGCAAGCACGCGAAGGGAGGACAAAGACAACGATGGCAACGAAAACAACGATAACGATCATAAGGAAAATAACGATAACAACGGTAGCAACGATAACAACGATAACGTTATCGATATCGTAGTCATCGGTACCCTTATCGTTGCTACCGTTGTCGTTATCACTTTCGCTGGGACAAGGATGGCATCCAAGGAAGCATCCCTGAGGGCTCTGACCCACGTCAGCGTCGTCGCCGCCGCCGAAGTCGTCGTCGTCCCCCTTCAGGGTCGACGACACTGGCCGTAAGGCCTTCGCAGTAGGAGATGAGGATGGCAGGGGGAGGGAGGGATGCATGTATAGAGGACCACAAAACTGCATATACATAAACTTTCGGAGGTCCGCGCGGATGTCTTAGATCTGCGCGCCAGGGGCGGCGCAGGAGGCGCCGCCAGGGGGGCTCCAGCGCCAATCCAAGAAAGCCGCGCGGATTTCCTAAAGTGTATGGTTATGCCGTTACTTGTTCCCCGAGGGATGCATGTACAGTGCCGACGCAACCACAAGACACCGTGGCAAGAAACCCAACCTCGAAAAACTGCGCGCGAGACGCACGAGGGGAAACGCGGCGCACCCAGAACGCAGCGGTCTCTTTCACGGCCGCGGGGAAGTCACCGCGCAGCGCGCGGAACAAAGAAACCCATGATACCTTGACAGAAAAGCGCCTCGTGCTTGATGCGCGTCACCACTGTATTATCAGAGCACTGGGGTTGAAAGAACAAATGTCGGAAGCAGTAGGAGAATCAGGTGGAGAGACCATCACACTAAATGGCAGAAGGAAAACCGAGCGGGACGAGCTGGTGAGACGGCCCTCTGGTGAGTGATATCGCGCTCTTATTTCTGCGACCTTCGACCTGTTGAGGCCGCTCGAGTTGGAGAGGAGCGGCTTCGGAATTCCGGAAGAGGGCGTCGGCGCCAGCATCGGACAGAGGATCTCCTCGCCCAGGACCTCTTGCGCCACGGAGGACATGTAGGCGAGCTCCTCCCTCCGAAGACCCCACCAAAGTCGGAGCACGGGCGCCGGCGCTAGAACTAACCGAAGCCCTCTTCCTCTCTCTCTCTCTCTCTCTCCTCTCCCCCCCGCACCTGCCCACCCCTCGTCATCCTCCCCTCCCATCCTCCTCTGCTCGCCCCCATCCTCTCATCCCCACTGCTCTTGAGGGGGAAAACAAGTACCGATACTGCTACTCCCTGGACCTAGCTCGGGGTCCGCTCTGACCAGAATTTCGAGGAGTCCAGCCGTGGCGACGAGGGCTCTTCCCCTGACTCCCCCGGTGCTCGCGAGGGGGAGGCAGAGACCGCAACGGCGGCCGACGTTCCCAGACTTCCGATGCCTGGAGTTCCCAGGGGCCAGAGCCTCATTACAGGCTCCCGAAAGCTCTGGACTACCTCCCGGGGGCCAGCTTTTCGTCCCGGACACGTCCTTGACGGCCCCAGGGCCTGGCGAGGGCCCCCAGACGCCGGAACCGCAGAAGAGCCGCCGCCCTGCCTTCTGCGGGGAGCTGCAGGTCCGAGCCGGGCCGCGCGGGGCTTCCGCCCCCGCGGTCCTCCGCCACCGAGGCGCACTCGGCCCCGCCCAGCAGCTGCAGGTCCGCGCAGGCCACCAGCGGGCCCCGCCGCCCGCCCGCCCCGCCGAAGAGCCCCTGGAGGCACGGCGCGCCGCGGCAGGGCACATCTGGGCGCAGGCACACGGCCCGGAGCCTCGCCGAGAGGTCCTCGAAGGGGCGCAGGACCACCGCCACGGCCGCGCCGACCTCCGCGGCGCCGCGCGGCGGCTCACGAGCGGCGATGCGCGAGCGGGGGAGCTAGAGAACCAGGCGTCTCCATTTTGTTCGAGCCCGGCGCCGTCGCCCGTTCTTCGGGCCCCGGGACCCGCACAGCTCGACCCGGCGCGACGACTGGCGCAGAGTGATGCGGTCGGGGGCTCTGGTGGCGATGTTGGTGCGACGTCGCCATGTGTCCGCAACATCAGATCTGAGGAATTCACCAGCAGCGAACCCATCCCGATGCTTACGTTGCTCCCATCGTACTGAAGGACCACATCTCAAAAAGACTTTCGAGCACCCAGAAAAGTGTCGAACAAGCGTCGAGCGAGTGTCGCCTCCCGGGGTCCGACACGTGAAAGCCCTCTCAAGTTTCGGTGCTCTCTTGGTGCCCGAAATTCTTTCTGGTGATCAAGGCTAACGTACTCCAGATTTCTTAATCAAGGGAGGGGGGTCTCATTTCGGGGGGGGTCTCTTCCAGGCTATCTTGGAGGGCCTGGGGGGGTCTGGGGACGATGTTTTGGAGGGTTCTTCCACGGGGGGGGTCTAAAACTTCTCGTCTGGGAGGGTTGAGACCCCCTCCCTTTTATTACGAAATCTGGAGTAGGCTGGAACACCATAGCCCCATGCGCGCCGATTCCGGGGCGCGATGCCGCGGATGCGCGGCCTTACGGATGGGCTCCGCGCGGGGCATCCGCGGAAACGCGCCCCGCGTCCGCGGGGCCGCGGCCCAGTGGCCCTGCCCGCGAGGCCGCGGACACGGAGATGACTCCGCCCACGAGCAGCGATCTCAGAGCGCGTGTTCGCGCCAGCGTGTGCCTTGGTGGGCGTTTTTTTACCTAACAGCGAAGACTGATAGGTTTCTAGTGGGATCAAAAGAGAGCAGCAGATCACTCCACAGGGGGGTCCGGGCAGGTGTTGGGAGTTGCCGGGCGGCAGGTGCCGGGCTCGTTTTTCACCAACAGTCACACACTTCGTGCTCTTCGACTTCCCAGAACTCCATTCCCAGGCCACATTCTCAATACCCGGATGCAACAGTCACACACTTCGTGCTCTTCGAGATCCCAGAACGCCATTCCCGGGCCACATTTGGAGGGCCGGATGCAACAGTCACACACTTCGTGCTCTTCGAGTTCCCAGAACTCCATTCCCGGGCCACATTTTGGATGCCCGGAGCCAACTGTAGGCCACTTCGTGCTCTTCGAGTTCCCAGAACTCCATTCCCGGGCCACATTTTGGATGCCCGGAGCCAACTGTAGGCCACTTCGTGCTCTTCGAGTTCCCAGAACTCCATTCCCGGGCCACATTTTGAATGCCCGGAGCCAACTGTAGGCCACTTCGTGCTCTTCGAGTTCCCAGAACTCCATTCCCGGGCCACATTTTGAATGCCCGTAGCCCAACTGTAGGCAACTTCGTGCTCTTCGACTTCCCAGAACTCCCATTCCTGGGCCACATTTTCAGCAGGGGCAAGAGCACGACGAGGAGGAGGACGAGCAAGACCAGGAGGACGAGGACGAGCAGGAGCAGGACGAGGAGCAGGAGGAGCAGGAGAAGAAGGACGAGCAGGAGGAGGAGGAGGACGAGCAGGAGGAGGAGGACGACCAGGAGGAGGAGGACGACCAGGAAGAGGAGGAGGAGGAGGAGGAGGGGAGGGGGAGGAGTACCAGGAGGAGGAGGAGGAGGAGGAGGAGGAGGAGAGGAGGAGGAGGAGGAGGACGAGGAGGAGGAGGAGGAGGAGGAGGGGGAGGGGAGGGGAGAGTACCAGGAGGAGGAGAAACGAGGAGACCAGGAGGGAGCCGGAGGAAGGAGGAGGAGGAGGACGAGAAGCAGGAGGAGGAGGACGACCAGGAGGAGGAGGACGACCAGGAGAGGAGGAGGAGGAGGAGGAGGGGAGGGGGAGGACTACCAGGAGGAGGAGGAGGAGGAGGAGGAGGAGGAGGAGAGGAGGAGGAGGACGAGGAGGAGGAGGAGGAGGAGGACGAGGAGGAGGAGGGGGGGGGAGAGCACCAGGAGGAGGAGAACGAGGACCACCAGGAGGAGGAGGAGGAGGAGGAGGAGGAGGAGGAGGAGGAGAGAGCACCAGGAGGAGGAGGACGAGCAAGACGAGGAGGACGAGAACGAGGACGAGCAGGAGGAAGAGGAGGAGGAGGAGGAGGAGGAGGAGGAGGAGGAGGAGCAGGAGAAAGAGGAGGAGAGGAGGAGGCAGGCTGAGGCTGAGGCTGTGACTGCGACTGCCGTTGCCGCTGCGACTGTCATCGCGAATGCGACTACGACTGCGAGAACAGCAGAATTCGACAACTGGATTTTCATCTGAATCTTAAGGGGAATGCTTTCAGATATGCTTCTACACATCGCTGTTAGGTTGCTTTGCCGGGATAATTTGATTCGGCGTTTCAACATTGGGCGGAAAGGGGGGGGAGGAGGGGGTTCTGGCTCAGGACCTCTGCTTAGCGCGACTGTTTGCAGCACTGGGTCCTATGAGGGGAGATTCCACCTGCTCGAAGCAGGCGCCCGAAACAGCCAAGATCTGGTCCATGGGGCGGTGGAGGGAGGGTTTGGGGGCCCGCGCCGATCGGCAAAACAATTGATAAAAAACGATCGCTTGTCCGCCGAGGCCCTTCGACACGACGCAGGCGGCTCTGCTGAGGGCCGAAGCGAGCTGCCTGTGCTGTCGGAGGAGCCAGACGGGGAAAGCACACGCTGGGCCAACACACGCCCCGAGGATCGTCGCACGCCGCAAGCGGCGAGGCAGATCCACTATGTCCCTGCAGTGCTCGGAGGCCTCTCGTCGTCGCAGTCGTCGTCGTCCCCCTGCAGGGCTCGGCGGCACTGGCCGTTCAGGCCTTCGCGGCACACGCTGGGCCGACACACGCCCCCGAGGCTCGTCGCACGCCGCGAGCAGCGCGGCGGCTGCCCGACGCTCGCCCCGAGGCCGCGCGCCGAGCCCGCGCAGGCGCGCCCCGCGCCCCGACGGGGTGGTGGTCGGACGATGCCGGCGCTCTGCCTCGCGCTCGGCCTCCGGGGGCCCGCGGGTCGGCCCCGGCCGCCCAGGCCCCCCGTGGCACGTCGGGGCGTGCCGGGGAGCCGGGGGGCTGTCTGGCAGGGCGCCGGCGGCTCTTCGAGGGGCTCCCCCCCCTCTCTCTCTCTCTCTCTCTCTCGCTCTCCCCGTGGCACGGACCTGCAGGCCCCGCCCCCCCCCCTTCGTCCCGAGGCCAGCCAGTCCCCTTGCGGAGCACGGCAGGCTCGCGCCCCCGAGGCCCAGGGTGCCCTCCAAGACGGCCCCATCTCGCTCCAAGACGGGCCACCTGGGCCTCAAGACGGCCCACCAGGCCTTCGAGGCGTCCCAAGAGAGCACCAAGAGAGCCTTCCCAAGAGGGCCCCAAGAGGCAAAAATAATGGTTTTTACCTAACATCGAAGACTGATAGGTTTCTAATAGACTAAAAAGAGAGCAGCACATTACTCCACAGGGGGGTCTGGGCAGCCGTTGGGGCGCGTTGGGGTTTGCCGGGGGGGGATCGTTTTTCGCATACAGTCACACACTTCGTGCTCTTCGACCTCCCAGAACTCCATTCCCGGGCCACATTCTGAATGCCCGGAGCCAACTGTACGCCACTTCGTGCTCTTCGACTTCCCAGAACTCCATTCCCGGGCCACATTTTGGATGCCCGGAGCCAACTGTAGGCCACTTCGTGCTCTTCGACTTCCCAGAACTCCATTCCCGGGCCACATTTTGGATGCCCGGAGCCAACTGTAGGCCACTTCGTGCTCTTCGAGTTCCCAGAACTCCATTCCCGGGCCACATTTTGAATGCCCGGAGCCAACTGTAGGCCACTTCGTGGTCTTCGAGTTCCCAGAATTCCATTCCTGGGCATGATTTTGAATGCCCGGAGCCAACTGTAGGCCACTTCGTGTTCTTCGAGTTCCCAGAATTCCATTCCCGGGCCACATTTTGAATGCTGAGGCAGGCTGATGGCTGAGGCTGAGGCAGGCTGAGGCTGAGGCAGGCTGAGGCTGAGGCCGAGGCTGAAGGCAGACTGAGGCTGAGGCTGAAGCTGAGGCTGAGGCTGAGGCTGAGGCAGGCTGTGGCTGAGGCTGAGGCAGGCTGATGCTGAGGCAGGCTGAGGCTGAGGCTGAGGCTGAGGCTGCAGGCTGAGGCTGAGGCAGGCTGAGGCTGAGGCCGAGGCTGAAGGCAGACTGAGGCTGAGGCTGAAGGCAGACTGAGGCTGAGGCTGAGGCAGGCTGAGGCTGAGGCTGAGGCAGGCTGATGCTGAGGCAGGCTGAGGCTGAGGCCTGAGGCTGATGCAGGCTGAGGCTGAGGCAGGCTGAGGCTGAGGCCGAGGCTGAAGGCAGAGGCTGAGGCTGAGGCTGAAGCAGGCTGAGGCTGAGGCTGAGGCAGGCTGAGGCTGAGGCTGAGGCTGAGGCTGATGCTGAGGCAGGCTGAGGCTGAGGCTGAGGCTGATGCAGGCTGAGGCTGAGGCAGGCTGAGGCTGAGGCCGAGGCTGAAGGCAGACTGAGGCTGAGGCTGAAGCAGGCTGAGGCTGAGGCTGAGGCAGGCTGAGGCTGAGGCTGAGGCACGCTGATGCTGAGGCAGGCTGAGGCTGAGGCTGAGGCTGATGCAGGCTGAGGCTGAGGCAGGCTGAGGCTGAGGCCGAGGCTGAAGGCAGACTGAGGCTGAGGCTGAAGCAGGCTGAGGCTGAGGCAGGCTGAGGCTGAGGCTGAGGCTGAGGCTGAGGCAGGCTGAGGCTGAGGCTGATGCAGGCTGAGGCTGAGGCAGGCTGAGGCTGAGGCCGAGCTGAGGCAGGCTGAGCAGGCTGAGGCTGAGGCTGAGGCTGAGGCCTGAGGCAGGCTGAGCGGCTGAGGCTGAGGCTGAGGCTGCAGGCTGAGGCTGCGGCTGAGCGCGGAGGTGAAGGCAGACTGAGGCTGAGGCTGAAGCAGGCTGAGGAGGCTGAGGCTGAGGCTGAGGCAGCAGGCTGAGGCTGAGGCTGAGGCTGAGGCTGAGGCAGGCTGATGCTGAGGCAGGCTGAGGCTGAGGCTGAGGCTGAGCAGGCTGAGGCTGAGGCAGGCTGAGGCTGAGGCCGAGGCTGAAGGCAGACTGAGGCTGAGGCTGAAGCAGGCTGAGGCTGAGGCTGAGGCAGGCTGAGGCTGAGGCTGAGGCAGGCTGATGCTGAGGCAGGCTGAGGCTGAGGCTGAGGCTGATGCAGGCTGAGGCTGAGGCAGCCTGAGGCTGAGGCCGAGGCTGAAGGCAGACTGAGGCTGAGGCTGAAGCAGGCTGAGGCTGAGGCTGAGGCAGGCTGAGGCTGAGGCAGGCTGAGGCTGAGGCTGAGGCAGGCTGAGGCTGAGGCTGTGACTGCGACTGCCGTTGCCACTGCGACTGTCATCGCGAATGCGACTACGACTGCGAGAACAGCAGAATTCTACAACTGGATTCTCATCCGAATCTTAAGGGGAATGCTTCCAGATATGCTCCTACACATCGATGTTAGGTTGCTTTGCCGGGATAATTTATTATGTTGTTCAACGTGTTTCGGGTTCTCGCCTTATCGAGCTTCCCACGCTCCTAGACGGTCCAGGAGGGCCCCAAGACTCCCCCGAGACGGCTTAGGAAACCCCCAAGAGAGCTCCAGGACGGCCCAAGAGGGCTCCAAGACGGCCCAAGAGGCGCCCAAGACTGCCCACGAAAGCCACAAGACGGCCCCAAGAAGGGTCCAAGAGCGGAAAAACGAACCAAGCATTCGAGCCGTCTGCCCCAAGAGACCCCCAGCACGCTTCCTTGCCTTCTCGGATAATTCCCAAATCAAAAGCTGCACTGGCACGGTGGCGGAACTGCCAGAGGCAGCTGGATGTATGATCCCAGGTCGAGGGTTTACAGGCCCCGCCCCCAGATGGGATGGGTCCCAGGGTTTCACAGGCCCACCCCCAGATGGAATGGGGGGGACGACGATGACGACAACGACAACAATGACGACGACGACGACGACGCCGCCGCCGCCGACGACGACGACGACGACGAGGACGACGACGACACCGACGCCGACGCCGACGCCGACGCCGACGCCGACGCCGACGCCGACGCCGACGCCGACGGAAACCTGCGACGACGACGGCGACGACGAACCACCGCACACCCACAGGGGGAAAAGGGGGGACACCGGCACCCACCACCACGCCACGCAGGGCCACGACCACGTGGGGGGGAGGGATCCCATTCGCGATGCCTTCGCGAGGCTCACGGGCGTGCTCATCCAGTGGGAGGGGGAGCGATCCCACTAGCATTGGGGGGGGAGGGGGGAGGGAAGGCCCTGGATCACCTCCTCCTCCTCCTCCTCCTCCTCCTCCTCCTCCTCCTCCTCCTCCTCATCCTAATCCTAATCCTCATCCTCATCCTCATCCTCATCCTCATCCTCATCCTTCTCCTCCTCCTCCTTCTCCTCTTCCCTTTCCTTCTCCATCCCCCATTCCGAACACACAACCTCTCCCTGTCGCACCCCGAGACGTGTCGGCGGGGCGGCCCGGGCGTCGTCCCCACCACTTATGACCCCTAGCCTTACCAGTCGCAACAGCTTCACTGAAGGAGGGCGGGGATGGTCTTCAGCATGCGGCAGCTCGCCTCGGCGCCGCGCACATCCTTCTCAGAAGCTTGCCCGAACTGCGCGGCTGGAGGGCGGGCTGTCTTCCAGGCGTGGCCCTCGCCCCAGCGCCGCGCGCACTCGTCCTCAAAACTGCGCAGGAACCTCGAGGACGGACGGCGGCCCCGAGCCAAGAGGTGGCCCCCGCCTCCGCGCCGCGCGCCTCCGTCTCTCGGTGCCGCAGGGCGCTCCTCTCCGCGGTGCGGCCGCGGCCCTCGCGCCGTGCACGCGCGTCCTCGAAGACGGCAGGAGGCTCCCGGAGGGCGGGCGGGCGGTGCTCCAGAGCGTGGCCCTCGCCTCGGCGCCGCGCACACTCGTCGGGAAAGCTTGCAAGTGCGCTTCACGGCTGGAGGAGGGCTCCTTTTTCAACGTGTGGCTATCGCCGTGGCGCCGCGCACAAATCGCCGCAAGGAACGGCACCAACTCTTAGGATTAGTACAGCTGGCGTCCCAGAAACTCTATGTTGGTACTGTAGAGCTGTCAGGGCGCGAAAGTCATGTCGATTTGCGGTGCTGAAGTCCCAGGAATGGTTTTCTGGCACCGCTCAGGATCGTCAGGACGCAACGGTACAGTTGATTCGCGGCGTTGAAGCCCAAGGCATTGTGTTTTGGCACGGTTCAGGATTTTCCAACGGATATCTTCCAACGGGGTACTTCCAGCAGCGGCAATAAGTTGTTGTAGACCTGTGCGGAGGACGAGGGAGGATGTATTACAACATCGTTGATGAGCCTTGTGTTTACTCTGGTCCTCCTCCTCCTCATCCTCCTCTCCCTCCTCCTCTTCCTCCTCCTCCTCTTCCTCCCCCTCGTGGCGAACAGGATCGGCGACGCCGGCCGCACAGCCTTCGCAATATCCGGGGTCAAGAACAGTGTCCCCGGGGGAATGGTCAAATGTTCTGGGGCCGCCGGCTGGACAGAAAAGCGCAAACTCCACAACAACCACAACAACAACAACAACAACAACAACAACAACAACAACAACAACAGCAACAGCAACAGCAACAGCAACAGCAACAGCAACAGCAACAGCAACAACAACAGCAGCAGCAACAGCAACAGCAACAGCAACAGCAACAGCAACAGCAACAGCAACAGCAACAGCAACAACAACAACAACAACAACAACAACAACAACAACAACAACAACAACAACAACAACAACAACAACAACAACAACAAAACTACGGATCTCAGGACCCCTGGAGCTCTCGAGCACCCTGTCTCGACGACTCCAAAGGGTGTGGTTTGCAAAGGGTGTGGCTTGCAACGGGCACCCTGGGGAGCATCCTGGGGGGGCACCCTGGGGGGCGCGCAGGGACCTCGATAGAGTTCTCCCGCGCCCCGAGGAGGTCCGACGAGAACAGCGTCATGCCCCCCAGGCCCCAACGTTGCCGATCGCAAACCACACCCCGGCGTAACCATCCCCTTTGTAGTCGCCGACTGTCGCCCCCGCCTGTGCACGCGCGCCTCTCCCGACAACTCACGCCAGGACCCTGGCGGTGGTGACGCCCCCCCTTCTACCGCGACAAACCGAATGCCTCATACGTCCGTCATGACGTTCTGGACTCCTACTCCTCCTCCTGTCACCTCCTCCTCCTCCTCCTAACTCCTCCCTTCCTCCTCCTCCTTCCTCCTCCTCCTTCCTCCTCCCTCCTCCTCCTCCTCCTCCTCCGCCGCCTCCGCCTCCGCCTCCGCCTCCGCCTCCGCCTCCGCCTCCGCCTCCGCCTCCGCCTCTGCCTTCCCCCCCCCCTCCTGGAGTATTCACTCTGTCTGGCCATTCCGACGACCTGCGAAGACTCGACGAGCTCCCAACGGCCGCGGTCCCAGAAGATGGCGTTGGCGTCCTTGCCGTCGCGCGAGCAGGCGTAGGCGTAGCCCTCCCCCAGCAGAGCCTCGGCCAGCGACTTGCTCGCGCCGCCCGCCTCAAGACAGAGGGCAGGAACCGTCAGCACCGGATCGAGACACCGGGTCGAATCGAAAGGCGCGGCGGATCGGGCTGCGTCGGCGCGGAGTCGAGACGGCCGTCCCCAGAGATCCTGGCGGCTCGATTCTTCCGAGCCACGCTTCTCCGCCAGCCCTCGGGCCCCCGGGGACCATCCCAGACCGATGCGGCTCGAACAACGGCGCAGAGAGATGAGGTCCAGGGCTCTGGTGGTGACCGTTCCGCGATGTCTCGGCCTTTTCGAGCCATCGGATCTCAGGGTCGGCGGCACGGAGTCGGCATGGAATCGGATCGACTGCGCCAGGATGCAATCGGCGGTGGACAAACCTCCCTTTCGTAAACCTCCCGCAAAAATGACGGCCGCGACGCCCTCTCGCGAACCGAAAACGGCCAATTCGCTAATCGACGTGTCACGTTGGAGGTCTGTCCACCCCCGATTTTCGAGCCATCGGATCTCAGTGTCGGCTCGGAGTCGGAGATCGACTGCGCCAGGATGCAGGCATCGGGCCGCGTCGGATCCCGATCGAAGTGGACACTGCGGAGGGCGGGGAAGGGACCCCCGAAGGAAGAAAGTTGGGGCCCTCTCGGGACCGCCTCGGGGCCTCCGATGCCCGTTGGAGCACACGACTCCGAGAAGGCCAACTCAAGTACTGATTCAAAAAAGTGGAGTGGCTCTTCTTCCGATCCTCCTCGGCCGTCCTGAACTTGGGCGGGTGGCAGTTTCGCCCACCTCGACCTGCAAAAAGCGCACAAAGGAATAAAGGAAAGCCCGCCTTGGAAACCTTTGGGGGCGTCGGGGGGCCCGCTTCGGGCCTCCCGTGAGACCCAGCGTGGCACACGAGGAAGGAGGAGGCGGTAGTCAAGGGGGAGGGAAGAAGAGGGAGATGGAGGCGCCCAGGGGAGAGGCGAACGGCGAGCGGGGCGGGCCTCCTCGGAAGACTCCGAAGGCCTCCGACCTTCTGAGAAGCCACGGGGGGCTGCTCCAGGCAGCCGAACGGCTTTCCACAAGCCCCGACGCTGAGGTCGGGCATGTCCCCCATACAGGGGGATTTCGGGGGAAACACACACCCCAAAGCACTCCAGAAATATTCAGAAATAGTCCGCACATCGTCCACATACGATTGTTAAACTGTTGTTGAAGATCCCCCCTGTAGCGGGACAGGCCCGCCTTAACCCGACGCCTTCTGAGAAGGCATGCACCCTCTCGCTCCCCCCTCGGCACGCAGCCGCGAAGTGCGGGGGGGAGATTCGGAGGGGCAAGCAACGGGGGGGCAGCAAACAGCGTTCGTCAACGGAGGAGAGGGCGGAGGAGGACGAGAAGGAAGAGGAGGAGGAGGAGGAGGAGGAGGAGGAGGAGG